GGTGTGAAAACTCGCTCTTCTATTAATTTATTTAATAATCTTGCTTTTGTTTCTCAAATTGAACCAAAAAGTCTTAAGGATGCCGAAAATGATGAGTTTTGGATTTTAGCCATGCAAGAAGAGCTAAATCAATTTGAAAGGAACAAAGTTTGGGAATTAGTCCATAGGCCATCTAATACTTCTATTATTGGAACCAAATGGGTTTTTAGAAATAAAATGGATGAAAATGGGAATATCATTAGAAATAAAGCTAGGCTTGTAGCTCAAGGTTATTGTCAAGAGGAAGGCATAGATTATGAAGAAACTTTTGCACCCGTTGCTAGATTAGAAGCTATTAGAATGTTACTTGCTTTTGCTTCTTACAAAAATTTTGTATTATATCAAATGGATGTGAAAAGTGCATTTTTGAATGGTTATATTATGGAGGAAGTTTATGTAGAACAACCTCCCGGATTTGAAAATGTAGAATTTCCTCATCATGTCTATAAGTTGAAAAAGGCTCTTTATGGCTTAAAACAAGCTCCAAGAGCTTGGTATGATAGACTTAGTAATTTTCTTATTGGGAATGATTTTAAAATGGGCAAACTCGACACTACACTCTTTATTAAGATTAAAGAAAACGATATGCTATTAGTGCAAATATATGTGGATGATATCATATTTGGTTCTACTAATCCTTCTTTATGTGAAGAATTTTCTAAATGTATGCATAGTGAGTTTGAGATGAGTATGATGGGAGAACTCAGTTTCTTTCTTGGACTTCAAATCAAACAACTCAAGAATGGTATCTTCATCAATCAAGAGAAATACACTAAAGATTTGCTCAAAAGATTCAAGTTCAATGGAGGTAAGATTGCAAGAACTCCCATGAGCACATCCACTAAGCTTGACAAGGATGAAAAAGGTAAAAGTGTGGATATTAAAGCTTATCGAGGTATGATTGGATCTTTACTTTACTTGACCGCTAGTAGACCCGATATTATGTTTAGTGTATGTCTTTGTGCTAGATTTCAATCTTGTCCTAAGGAATCTCATTTACATGCCGTTAAGAGAATATTTAAATATTTGCTTGGAACTATTGATCTAGGATTGTGGTATCCTAGAAATGTTGAATTTAAATTGGTAGGATATTCTGATGCAGATTTTGCCGGAAGCTTACTTGATCGTAAAAGTACTAGTGGAACTTGTCAATTTCTTGGTAGTTCCTTAGTTTCTTGGTTTAGTAAAAAGCAAAATTCGGTTGCCTTATCTACTACCGAAGCGGAATATATTGCGGTTGCTAGTTGCTGTGCTCAAATTCTTTGGATGAAACAAACTCTTTGTGATTTTGGATTAAAGTTTCATAGTGTGCCTATATTTTGTGATAATACAAGTGCTATTAATTTAACTAAAAATCCTATTCATCATTCTAGAACTAAACATATTGACATTAGACATCATTTTATTAGAGAGCATGTGCAAAATGGACATATTATTCTTGATTTTGTAAACTCTAATAATCAACTGGCCGATATTTTCACCAAGCCATTGAATGAAGAAATTTTTTGCAAAAATAGGCTTGAGCTTGGTATTATTCGTTGTGATATATCTTGAATTTTATAATTTTTGAATGCATGTTTTTAGGGGGAGCCATTATGTCATTATTAAATGCATTCTCTTTCAATTGTTCATTTTGATGATCACAAAGGGGGAGAAAATTAAGAAAAATATGTTCTAAATTTGTTATTTTATAATTTATGAATCATTTACTTTGTGTTTCATAATTTCTTGAGGCATTAATATAAGGGAGAATATGCTCTTGAGTGAAATTTATGAAAATATATTAGTATGTAGTGATATTATTACATGGATGTTGTATTATTGGTTTTTATGAATTTTTCTTTAAATGATTTGTCATCATCAAAAAGGGGGAGATTGTTGGCTTATTGGCCCTTGATCTCACATTAATTAATTTCAATGAATTAATTATTGATGTTTTGATGATAACAAACCTACTTTTAATTATTAACTATTTTCAGTTTTTTGAACTGTCCACAGTATAAGGTCGGGAATAACGATTACAACAACTTTTCAATTACTCAAATCAGAGCTAAAACGAAGAAATTAGAGTCGAGACAACATACCCGACGTGATGATGTGGCAACAAAATCAAAATGATGGACAAATCAAAATATATCAAAGTATGACATTTATAATATTGGAAGAGTAACACATGGTGGAGTTTTTCTTATTATTACATTTCTAAATAAAATTATTTTTACAAATATAAATTTGAATATAACCGTTACTCACATCGAATTTTATTATTACTATATTATATTATTATATTATTATATTTTAAAATTTTGGTAGTTACTCACATCATTTTTATTATTATTATATTACTATATTTATAATAAATTTTGAATTACATTTTACCGTTACTCACATAACTTTTTATTATTATTATATTATATTACTATTATATTAAAATTTTGAAATAAATGAATTTAGAAAATTTTCTTACTTAATTACTTTTAATCTCCACCTTCCATTATTCCTAACACAATCCAATGGTCAATATTCAATCCTACATTTTGCCACTTTTCTCCTCTATATAAACTCATCTTCCCCACATTTTTAAATGACACAACTTACATACATTTTTCAATCCTCATTTGTTCAAAGTCTCCATTGTTTATTGCTCTCTCCAAGCTTACAAGTTTATTTCTTTTCATCTTATTCTTGAGAGGGATTATTATTATATTGTGAGGAAATAGTTGTCAGTATCCCAAATTGTAAATCTACTCTTTGAGAGAGTTGTGGTGTGTTATTATCAAACTCAAATACTTGTATCGGTTTAATCCTGCGTCGTTGAAAGGATTGAGTTTGCTCTTGAACTCGTAAAAAGAGCGGTGTACCGGTTTGGCTCTGATCCGTGGAAAGAGTCGGAAAAGTTCTTTATTCAAATTCCCAAGAGGCGCTTGGGGAGTGGAGTAGGTCGAGTTTGACCGAACCACTATAAAACTACGGTGTCATTTTCTCTAACTCTTTCCTATTTAATTTCAAGATTATTATTATGTTTATTGCATGTTCTACTTGATTAGTGTTTTGACTTGAATTATTTTGTTTTAGTAATTATCATCTTCTACTTATTTGTAAAAAGTTTTATCATTAGAAAAATTAATCAAGTTTAAACACTTTTATCGTTAAAACCCTATTCACCCCCCCTCTAGGGTTGCCATACCGATCCAACAGTATTTGGATGAGTATGTATTGTATGTATGTTATGGTAAAATTACCATTATGCCTCTAGGTTGAGATTTCGCAAAAGCATGTTGTTTTATGTATTATGTAAAACTAGAAAGAGAACGTGCATGACTGGGATACGAGTTACGAAACATGGATGAACATGTTATACATGATGTAAGAAATTACAAAAATGTCACTATGATGAGATTTGTGATAAATGTTGTTTTATATGCTTTCCGGAATATTAGAAAGAAGGATTGACTATTGTGATCTGTGCTCTAGGTGATGGATAGATGTTATCTCCCCGCTTGTATGTTTGCATGATATAGTATGTTTTAGCTTCGGTGTTTAATTGTGTGTTATCCTTGTAGAGCGTGTTTATCTCCACGAAGCTTAAGTAAGGTTGGCTAGATGATGACCCAGATCAAGACATCTCTAGTAGACTAAGCACCTTAGAATTGTGAATGACAATTAGAGGGTTTAGATCCTAGTGCTCCCGGACTAAGAAAGATCGAGGCGTCAACTTGGAGCTAGAAGTCCACGTTAAGCCACCTAGCCACCTTAGGAATCTAAAGACCACCTTAGTTACCCGGTATGACTAAGGTGAAGTTTAAGTTGACTTAGGTTATCGATAGGAATATCTGACTAACAAAGCATGCATGATAGAATTCAATTTAGATTAGGGCGCTATAGTTAGTGCGATTTACGTGCTGACCCAATTCAATAAGTATCCAGTAGGCCTTGCACCCCAAGATCGTGAGAGATCAAAGGTTTAGACTCGTGTGTACCTATAGATTGATTTAGCTTGAGGAGTTAACTCCGAACATCCTAGAATCAATAGATAGGATTTAAATTACTTAGAATTCTCTAAGAACCTGTTAGACCTCTATGGCATCTAGGAATGAAAGAGATAAGCATTCTAAGTGGATAGTAGCGGGTGCAGTGTCTTAGAAGCATCCACTTCATCTTTTTATAATTTTATTTTATTTTTATTTGTTTTCACTTTCATCTTTTTAGTCTCGATCTGGGTTTTAAAATCTCAAAATTCAAGTCGTGACACTCTTGATCCTTAGTTATTTCTTCATGTTAAAACAACTTAAGTACTTCAGTATTAACCATATCTCCGACATTTCATGAATAAATATTTAGATATTTTAGAAATGTGTCGACCTGACCTCTATTATAAACACCCCCTCCACCCTACTAAGCTTTTCATCCCAAGCGACCTCAAACAAAGCAAAGCGTAATAGTTTCTACAAATTGTCATTGTAATTTCTTCTTGATTGATTCTGACAAGGGTACGAGCTTTTTCCACAAAAGAGTTATGTTCTTCCCTTCATAGAACAAGAGAGTTCAAACACTTCCTAACTGGATGAATATCTTTCCTTGACACCAAAGTAACTATTTTTAGATACATGGTTGGGTAACTCATCTTAACTTGAAATCAATATCCACTTTTTAGATTCTATTCTAAGGAAGATCGGTCAACTAGCAAAACTCAATTAGTTAAGATACTTCAGATCAAGATCAAGTGTTTGAATCTTTTGGGAAGAACAAAACACATGGAATGTGAATCTACCATAAAATATAGAACTTTGAATATTTCAACAACCAAACAAAACCCTCTTCTACTTGCAAAGATACTTTCATAAGCTTAGATTCCAAGAAAGAAAGTGAAAAAAAAGCATCCATTTTCAAATTCAATATAGAACCCTTTTTCTTGATCATCCCTATATATAAACCAAAACCCATCTCACTTATTTGAACAAATTAGCTCATAAATCCAAACCACCAAAGAACAGCGTTGCTTTGAGATCAGCTCAAGCCACCACAAAAGGGCTTTTCTTCAATTTGAATGGAAAAGGTGAAGAGATTAGCAGCTGAAAATGAAGTGCTGGTAATAAGCAAGAGCTCTTGTTGCCTTTGTTATGCAGTGGTTGTTCTTCTAAGGGACCTTGGAGTTTGCCCCATGGTGTACGAGCTTGATCATGACCCTGAAGCAAGAGATGTGGAGAAGGCTCTTGTAAGGTTGCACGTCTGCCATGCACCGCCTGTTCCCGCCGTGTTCATCGCCGGAGAACTCATCGGATCAACCAACGAAGTCATGTCACTTCACCTTAGTGGCGAGCTCAATCGAATGTTGAAACCCTACAAGGTGGTTCAAGAGAACTAGCTGAATTGTCTCTTGACAACGTTGTAGTTGTCGAAACTTAGCTGCTTTCTATGTTATGTGTAATGTTTGGGTAATGAATAAAAGAAGTGTGTATGTCAACAAGGTGTGTGTAAGTTGATATTGGCTTTATGGATTACACGTTTTCTTTCTTATATTTTTTTAACTATCCTTCCTTTCTCCAATCAAACGAACTCGAACTCGAACTCGAACTCGAGCTCCCTTCATTCGAGAAAATGTAAAGCTCGATTTGAAATTTCACTCTACTTTTTCAATTGACGAAGAAATACATCTCTATTTATAAAAATTGAAAAGGCATGATGAAAGAACGTAACTCTTGATCATCCCGTCTAAATTTTGCTCTTATCTTGTGAGATCTCACATTGATCGAGGAGGTGAACAAAATATTTCTTATAATGATGTGGAAATCTCTCCCTAGAAGACATGTTTTAAAATTATGAGACTGATGACGATACATAATAAGCCAAAGTAGACATTATTTGTTAGCGTTAGGCTTGGACTTGGGCTCGAGATGTTATAAATGGTATCAAAGTCAGACACCAGGTGAGGTGCCAGTGAGGATGTTGGGCCCCAAGGGAGTAGATTGTGAAATCCCACATCAATTGGAGAGATGAATGAAACATTTCTTATAAGAGTGTGAACTTATAAGAAATGTTTATCGGAAAGTATAGTAGCACATGACTTGAGTATTTTAAGTAATACTAACTAAGTCACCGTGGTTAACAATGCAATCATACACATAACATGATTGGGACCTATCTTAAAATTGTCACGACCATGGACTCTTTCCAGTTCCGAGTAAGGTTGAATGTGTGGTACTTTTCCATACATGGCCACGTGCGCGCACATGACCCACCAAGTGGGCTCGTATACGTACACCCTAAACTTGACATGGTTGGGCTTAACGTGTTACACATCGTCAGACACCACGAAAAGGAAAGACCCACATGATATCAGGGCGAACATGAATATCAAAGGTACGCGTTTATACTAACATAATATAACAAACAAGTATCCTGATGAACATGACACACATACATGCATGAGGTTCTCATGATTTACATTCACAACATAGCATTAACATCATTCCTTTCCTCATTTCATCCATGATGTATCCCATACATGCATTATGATAGCGACTTTAGGTAGTGAAAGACAATATAATAAGAAATGATATGTATCAAAATGGTTAGTCTCAGACAACGACATTGGGTAAGAACAATAAATCGGAAGCCTTTCTCTTATCAAAGCGTTTCAATCGTGGGACCTCATTAAATTAAAAATAATTTATTTTCTTTAACGATTTCTTAATTAGTTTTATGAGTTAAATTATTGCTTTATTATATATTTATTCGTTAAAAACTTTCAATACTAAACTTCTAAAACAAAATAGGTACTGATTCAGTTAGTGGTGTTTATCCAGTTTGTTATTTTGGATTTTCTTTTGTATGTGTTTTTGCATCCCGTTCCCATTTCCAATTTGTATATAACTGAAACGATGAACCTGATGGTTAAGAATTTTCTTTTAGTTGTGCTTCCCGACATAACAAAGAATTTTTGGAACTAGAACCTGAGATATCATTAAGACCTCCTAATAAGTAAGTGCAATATAGCCCTAGGACACAGACTACGTTGCAAGGAATGCATTGAGCCCTGAACGTAGGTATTCAGGCTATGCGCAACGAACGCATGAAGCCTTGAACATAGGTATGTAGATTTTATCGCCCATAACACATGAAGCCTTGGATGCAAGTATTAGACTATGTCACGGAGAATGCATGAAGCCTGCACATGTTACGTTGTTAGGCCATCAATATAGTGATAGACCATTTCCACCTCCTTTAGCCAGGCCTCTCCAGCTACTTTGGTCAACCTTTCTGCCGTTGATGGAAGGTGGGTTGTACATGTAAAAATCAATCGATTGAGATATAGTATTTGAAAAATATATTAGTTATGGAATATATTTTAGATATTATATCTTAATATTATTTCCTTTATAATTTGATTAGTAGTATATTTTATTTTGTTCTCTATATTTAATTAGTTTATATTTTTCTTAGGTATAGATATTAGTTGGTAGCTTGTATCCTATTTAAAGGTTACGAATATCAATGAAAATACACATTTTCGATTCCAATTCTATTTCTCATTCTTAACACTCTACCATTTCCTTGAGGTCTATACTATTCAACCTCAGGCATTTGGGCAGCACTGTCGACCGTGACCTTCTGTTTACCCCTATTGAGAGTTGGCCCCTCGATGGCCTGTTTTCTCTCAAGAGCCATGATCTATCAGAAGATAAGAAGTTTGAGTTTAAATCGTTCTAACACGTCATTCATTCATGAAAGTGTAACTGCAACTGCAACTTAATTAAATTATTAAGGCTCACCCTCTAATCAAGTTATTGTATAATTCAAGTTCATATAACTTAGCTGGTCACAACGGGGTGTGTCGTCAAGATGAGCCTCTCAAATTGTGACTAAAGAGATAAGAGAAAAGCCAATTAAGGAAGGTAAAATACAATAAAATTTGACACGATTTAAAGATATACAACACCACAGTCAAAATCAAATAAGAAAGAAAACAAAATAGATATCGTTTTGATCACTTAATATTCATAAAAACCTTAATTTCTTTTCAAGTGTCTTGAGAGGGAGTTTCATAATTTTCCTTTTGGTTCACATTCTAAAGTTGTCTTAAGACTTAGCCTTAAACTCATAAATTTTCATAAGGGTATTTTAGTCCTTTTACCCCTTAAATCTTGATTTAATCCTCGACATAACCCACGACATAAGTTGAAGTGTAATAAGAATTTAATAAATAAATAATAAAACCAGAAAATCATAAAATTAAATGGGTGGGAATTAATTTTTGTTTTCAATATATTAGAAGAGGTGCACTCGAGTACGGGCAATCCCATGATGGCTTTCCGAAGCCTTCTTCTTCGTCTGTGCGAACTGCATCGCTCATAGATGCCATTTCCCCTCTCATTCAGCAGAGTCCAAGAAGCGAGCGAAAATGGACGAAGCTAAGGCAATGGCTGCCCAACACCAACAACAGCTACTCTTGCAACAGCACAAACAGCAACAGCAACAGCAGCAACAAACTCAGCAGCACCAGCAATTTCTTCTTCTTCAACAATTGCAGAAACAGCAGCAGGCTCAACAACAGGCCGCCGCTATCTCTCGCTTTCCTTCCAATATCGACGCGCATTTACGCCCACCGGGTCTTCATCTCCGCCCTGGATCCATTAACCTCCACCAAAACCCTAACCCTAACCCTAATCCAACCACGTCTGTTCCTAATTTGCAGTCTAACCCTAGCCCCAGTCAACCACCGTCTCAACAATCGCAGCAGCAGCAACAACACCAGCACCAGCTGCAGCAGAGAGCTATGCGATCGGGGAACCAGGCGGAACTCCAGATGGCTTATCAGGACGCTTGGCGTGTTTGCCATCCTGACATTAAGCGCCCCTTTGGTTCCCTTGAAGATGCTTGTGAGAGGTTCGTCCTTTTCAAATGCTTGTTTTTGGTGCAGTTTTTTTGTGTCAAGTTTCTAAATATTGTGTAATTATGTCTTAGAGCCTATTGCTAGCGAGGGGTTTGCTATTATTTGGAAGAACAAATTTTCACTGGCTAATTACTTGCAATTGGCATTCTTTTAAATTATGTTCAGATCATTATTTGTCTACTTCAGGGGGGTTTTATAAGTTTAGGGCCATGTAAATCTGGACTCTAGCGTATGCTTACTTAAAAGTGGAGCTTAGTGAATATATATATTGAGATTACTAGGCCACGCAGCATGAAGAATTGGCTCCCCGTGAATGTGATGCATCTTGTGCAGTAGATCTAGATTCTACGTTTGCAATTATGAATTGTGTTATGCAAATTCAAATTATTGCTTGGGTTGTTCTACTTTTGTATCTCGTTATCTTATGCGAAGTCGAGCATCTTGCAAATCATTTTTGTTCGAAAGAAGAAAATATATAGAAAGGCATACTATGGATAAATTATGCCTCGTCCTGTTCTTGCAAATCATTTTTGTATCTCGTCCTGTTCTTTTGGTTCTTTTTGTAACAATGGATAAATTATGTCTTCTTTATGGAGTCTTGGACACACAAATTATTTTTGTAATTATAGCCTGGCTCAAGTCCTCCAAAATTGGGAGGCTGTGCTACATTCTGTTCTGTTTTGCGCTTAATACACCTTCAATGCAAGTTCTATACATTCTTATATCTATTTCAATTGACGGGAAGTCTTTTCCCCCTCACTTCCCTAATCTACTTAGGGCCTTAGTATAGTCTTCTCTATATTAAATACCCTCGCAAACAAGTGTCTTATTAAGTTAAGATATCAAACTATGAACTTTTTAAGCCCACTCTTATATCATCCTGCCCATAAATTACTTTTTTTAGTCTTAACTTATGAAGAAATGTTTTTGTGATACTTTAAGAAAGATTTTGATATGATATTTTAGGAAGTTCTCCAGAAAACAATATGAGGTGGGTCTCAGGAGTGTACGACTCTCCTAAGCCAAAATGTAGGAAGGCTTTTTGAGAAGATTTGACAAATCAAATGGCCTATGTGGCTCTTGCTGGGGATTTAGATATTTCATTTTGACGAGTGCTATGAGACTTTTTACTGATTTCACTGAGGTTAGTAGCTGTTTTGACCTCCACTAGTGAACATGAGGCTTACCTTGTCCATATGGTGCGTAGTAGGATTGGTAGGGTTTTTTTCTATCCAACCGATGGTTGTATGCTTATGTGAGTGTGAGACGAGTGTTGGGTCCTAGACTACTTCAGATCGTTGGTGGCTTACTCTTAATTCAGGGTCTCAAACTTGGGGCCATTGTCCTTTTAGATTTGAGAATATGTTGGTGCACCTCCCATCCTTCAAAATTTCCTTTTTGGCATGGTGTAATGTGGATGTTCCCAAAAATTGGGAAGGGTATCATTTCATGGCGAAATTTAGGGCTCTTAAACGGGGGTTAAAGTCTTGGAATTAAGAGGTCTTTGGGGGTTGTAGGATTAAGAAGCAGAATGGTTTTTGGTAGATTCAATGTTATCAACAGTCTTGATAAGAAGGCTAAAGGTGGAGTTGGATTCCCCTATTCCTTAGAAGAAATCAGAAAGGTGATTTTCGAGTGTGACGAGAACAAGTCTTCGGGTCGTGATAATTTTTCTTTAGCCTTCTTATTAGGATAATTGGGAGGCCTTTAAGGAGGATCTTGAGTGGGTAAACTCATTAGAAAGTTTTTTGAAAGGGATATCATGGATAGTTCTCTAAATGAAACCTTTGTTTGCCTCATTCTCATAAAGGGAAGGGAAAATAAGGTTAAGGGTTTGAGGCCCATCAGTCTAGTAACGAGTGTGTGCAAGATTATAGCTAAAGTTCCGGTAATAGACTTAATAAGGTCTTCCCTCCAACAATTTCTTAGGCTCTTATCATTGGAAGGCAAATTCTTGATCAAGCTCTTATTGCTAACGAGGTTATTGCTAAGGATGCTATTGGATTGGAACTTTCTTGATAAGGTCCTCAAAAAGAAAGGTTTGGGTTACAAATGAAGAGCCTGGATTTGGAGTTGTATTAGAACGGTTAAGTACTTGATTCACATTAATGGAAGGCCTAGAGGTAGAATCAAAGCTTTTTGAGGCCTTAGATCGAGTGATATGTTATCTCCTTTCCTCTTCTTCTTGTTGTCAGTAGGATTGTTTCCGAAGGAGTAAAGGTAATATTATCGAGTAAAGGTAATATTATCGAGGACTTTGAGGTTGGGAGGATAAGGTAACACCCCTAGTTTTCTTAACCTAATTAGTGACGTCACCCATGCATGCATAAATCATAAAGCGGAAATTCATAATAAATAGCTTTGGAAACAACACCAAGGTCTCTTACATAAAAGTTCAAAAACCCGTATTAAACATATCCTAGAAAAAGAATTCATTCGTTAACTGAAAACAAAAAAAATTAAATAAAACAAACATTCATCGATTTAACTTAAAAACCTAATTATAACATATCTTGCCCAACAATGCCCTCTCATCAACTTCCATGGTATCCTCAGCCTCCACCGTCAACCGTGCATAGGTGCCTTGCCTTTACTTGAAAAATTTAGGTAGCACGTGGCTTGAGTACTTTATGAAATACTCAGTGCACCCACATTGTTGGGGTTAGATATGCAAACACACTCAATATATGAGTGGGACCTATCTTTCATAATCTTTACATGACCTTGGACTATTTTCTCTTCTGGGTAGGGGCAGGGTTGGATGTAGGGTACTTCTCCAAGCACAGCCCACGTACGCACACATGGGCCCACTAGGCTGGCTCGTATTACACGTCACCGCACATAACAGAAAAAGCCCGCATGATATCATGGCGAACATAGATATCAAATTCTTACTTTCATGACATAAAGGTGACATAAAGGGGAGGTATCCCGATGCAAATGACATACAGATATGCATAAGGTTCAATGACTTGCATTTCATAACATAACACGTAATATAAAATACATTTCATTTCCTTCATGCTTTTCATACCATAGCTCAATAACGCTAAGTGTATGCATGACAACGTTCATCACATTCATAACATGTAATACTAACATTACATCCATAGCATTTCAGTTTATTTCATAACATTATCAGAAAACATAATCGATGCATAACATGGACATTTCTCATAAAATATGGTGCATGCAAAAGCCACAAGGCACACACCAACATACAACATATATTAGGCTAACTCCAACAGTAAAGTCACTCAACTCCAACAGTGAAGTCACTCACCTCGTTGACCTTGGTTGAAGTTTACACACAGTAATGGCCAACTACTTTTTATAAAAACCACATAATATACTTAAAAACAGTTCATAACGTAATCGAGCTAAATCTCATGTTAACTATCAGAGTAAGCCTCTAACATAATCTTTTTTTTTTACAATTAAGAGTCATACTGAAAAGGCAAAAACAAAGGTAGAAATGGCTTCAAAAGGGCCAAAAACTTAGGAATCGGTATATTATAAGTATATCGAGCCGACAAGTTGAGTCGCGGGATTGGACGGAGCCGAGCCGACGGTTTGTACGCATGTGCACCGACGAGCGCCCAGAAGACGAGCGCCTTTAGCTTCGTCTTCGGCTTTGCACGTGTGCACGGAGGTGGCTAGGCTCGCACACGTACGTACCGTCAGCTCGGCTCGCACGCGTACGTACCATCAACTCAGCTCGCATGCGTACGTACCGTCGGCTCGGTATACTTATAATATACCGATTTCTAGGTTTTCGACCCTTATAAAACCATTTTTGCTCTTGTTTGACTCTTAATTCTCAAAAAACAGATTAGGTTAGGGACTTACTTTGATAGTTAACATGAGGTTTAACTTGGTTATGTTATGAGAGGTTTTTACGTATATTATGTGGTTTTTATAGGAAGTAGTTGACCGTTGGAGTTGGCTTACTGTGTGTAAACTTCGGTCAAGGCCAATGACGTAAGTGACTTTACTGTTGGAGTTAGCCTAATATGTTGGTGCGTGCATTGTGGCTTTGCATGCACCATATTTTATGAGAAATGTCCATGTTATTCATCGATTATGTTTTCTGATAATTTTATGAAATGAATTGAAATGCTATGGATGTTATGGTATTACATGCTATGGGTTATGGTATTACATGCTAGGGATGTTATGTTATTACATGCTATGATTGTGATAATGTTGCCATGTATACACTTAACATTGTTGAGTTATGTTATGAAATGCATGAAGGAAATGGAACGTATTTTATATTACGTGTTATGTTATGAAATGTAAGTCATGAGAGCTCATGCATATCTGTATATCATTTGCATCGAGATACCTTCTCTTTATGTCATGAAAGTAAGAATTCGATATTTATGTTCTCTATTATATCATGCGGGCTTTTTCTATACTGTGGCGTCCAGTGATGTGTAATACGTTGTGCCCGACCAAGCCAGGCCTAGGGATATGTATACGAGCCCGTCTGGTGGGCCCATGTGCGCGTACATGGGCTATATGTGGAGAAGTACCATACAGCCCAAGGCCATGTAAAGTTTATAAAAGATAGGTCTCACTCATATGTTGTGGGCTGTGTGTGGAGAAGTACAATCCATCCAACCGTGCCTAGAAGAGAAAATAGCCCAAGGCCATGTAAAGTTTATGAAAGATAAGTCTCACTCATATGCTGTATGTGTTTGCATATCTAACCCCAACAGTGGGGTGACTTACTGAGTATTTCATAAAATACTCAAGTCACGTGCTACCTAAATTTTTCAAGTAAAGGCAAGACACCTATGCACCGTAATTTTTCAGGTAAAGGAAAGACACCTATGCACGGTTGATGGTGGAGGCTGAGGATGTTGATGAAAGGGCGTTGGGCAGGATATATTTTAATTGGGTTTTTAAGTTAAATTGATGGAGGTTTGTTTTATTTAATTTTTCTGTTTTCAGTTAACGAAGATTCTTTTTCTAGGATATGTTTAATTCGGGTTTTTGAACTTTTATGTAAGACCTAGGTGTTATTTCCAAAGCTATTTGATTATGAATTTTCGCTTTATGATTTATGCATACATGAATGACTTCACTAATTAGGTTAAGAAAATTAGGGGTGTTATAGTTGGTATCAAAGCCAGACACCTGGCGATGTGCCAGCGAGGAGGTTTTTCCCTGAAGGGGGTAGACACGAGGTGATGTGCCAGTAAGGATTCTAGGCACCGAAGGGGGGTGGAGTTGGTGGGGGTCTCACATCGATTGGAGAAAGGAACGAGTGCCAGTAAGGACGATGAGACCCAAATGGGGTAAATTTGGTAAGGTTCCCAAAACGATTGGAGAAAGGAATGAGTGCCAGCAAGGACGATGGGCCCTGAAGGGGGGTGGATTGTGATATCCCACATCGGTTGGGGAGGAGAATGAAAGTGTGGAAACCTCTCCCTAGCACACGCGTTTTAATAACCTTGAGGGGAAGCTCGAAAGGGAAAGTCCAAAGAGGACAATATCTGCTAGGGGTGAGCGTGAGCCGTTACATGATCTCTATTCACATCCAATTTACCCATGATACTATCTTTTTTTATTCAAGAAAGTAGTCTTCCTTTTTGGATGAGAAAGACGTTGCCTTCTTGGAAGAAAATTTATTCTTTAAAGGTGGTTGATTGTCCCTTATTTGTTCGATGTTAAGAAGAATCCCTATCTACTTTGTCACTTTTTATATGTACTCTGAGAATATTTGGAGTTTTGTTTTAACAATTCCTTTAGGTTAAAACTTTCTTGGAGGAAGGTTTTTCGACTCCAGAAACCAAAGGAAAGAGGGTTCGGTAGTTTACTTACTCTTTAAAGGTGTTTGTTTACATCTCTAAGGAGCAAAGAAAAGTAGTATTCTCCATAATAGTGTCAAAATTTGAGTCTTTTTCTGTGAAGACTTTAGCAATGAGTTTTTTTTCAAATGCTCCAAAGAAAAGCTATGTTGAAGTACCACGACGACGTCTCCTCCTTCTGCATCTTCAGTTTCTTCGTAATCATCTTCTAATTGGGGTTGCCGACGAGTGCCTGAGGAAAGAGAGATTGCAGTAAATATTTGAGAAAAGGATGAGGGGTAGGTCAAGAAGGTTGAGTGGGTTACCTGAAGATGGTTCTCGGGAAAGGACAGAACGGGTTCTCGATGAGGAAGCGGCAGCTCGAGAAGAACTGCTTGCAGGCGAGCCTGGTTGAGAGGTGAAGAGGAGCAATTTCGCTCAGATAGTTATCCATGGATCAAACTTTCCCAAACCTCCACTAAGACCTAAAGGTGGGAGTGGCAGAAGGGTTTGTATGAAGGAGCTCTGATGTTATTTGGTCTATTTCCGAATGGTCTTTTTTCCCGTGAGAAAGTAAGAAAGGAAAGTGTGATTTTCGTTGGGAAGGCAGTAAACCAACCAAAGGATACAATCTCAGCATGCTCCAAAATTTGGCAGCCAAGGGGCAATTTTTGATGAAGTGTACATCTGTGTTTAGCATCCCTATAACAAAGAGGACAACAATTTGGAGAGAGATAAATCCAAGGGAGTCTCCTTTTGAAGGCGATTGTGAGTGTTGATGCATGAATGGCTGAGCTCCCACATTGAATTATATGTCTTTTTTTTCCTTCCTTCACTTCCTATCGTTTCACTTTCTATCGTTTCCCGTTCATCTTCTTCTGTTTGTGGAGTTACAAATTTGCACTATTATTTATTAACGTGGATCATAATTGTGCAAGAAAGAAAACAAATCACAAAACTACTTATTTATGCAATGCACATACGGTCAGAATTTGTGGACAACAATTCTTAATATATTCGGATGACATCTCACATTTCCTACGGAGGTAAAGGATTTTTTGGATATGACCTTAACGTACACCCTTTCAAGAATGTAAAAGCCCTATTATGGAAAAACCTCATTATGGCTTTCTTTTAGAATATGTGGAAAGAAAGAAATCAGAGAATTATTTGTAGAAAAGATACAGACCTACACAAAACTTTTGAACAATGTTGTTTACCGAACTATTTCTTAGTTTAAACTGTCTAATATTTTTACTTCCTACCGTTATACTTCCTTTTTTACTATCTAATGTTGCAATGGGAGGTCTTTTGTAAACACCATGGATGACATCCATTTGTAAATTTCAATCATCAATAAAATTTTCTCTTATAAAAAAAAAAAAAAAAAAAATTCTTTTTTTAATTTGTAGTTAGTTCTTAAACTCCCTTTTTGTTGGACTTGTTTTTTTGTTTCCCTTATATGTTCTTCCTCTTAATTAAAGCTCTGTTTTTTAACGAAAAGTTAATTGTTAATTGTTATTTGTTTTGCATTTTGTTTCCATTTCCTGTTTGCTTTCTGCAGTTCTTTTGTAGCATGAAATGCTTTTTTTAATTTCCCTTTTTGGTTGTGGTTATTTTATAATTATACTGATTTATTATTCTGAGAAGAGCTTCAGTGATCTCTTTATGAAACCTTGGCTTCCAATAGACGTCCTCAATTTATAATTATTACTATTATTATTGTTTTGAGGGGGATATGGTGAAATTAGAAACCGACCTCTTTTTATTGTCACTATTATTATTACTGATATAGAGGGCTCTCCGGTGTATAATTTGTTGAGGATTGTTGAGTGGGAGTCCCACATTGGCTAATTTAGTGGAAGATCATGAATTTATGAATGAGGTCTTTTGGGGAAGCCCAAAGCAAAGCCATGAGAGTTTAAGCTCAAAGTGGGCTATATCATACTATTGTGGTGAGTCGTGGTTCCTAACATGGTATCTGAGTCATGCCCTTAACTTAGCCATGTCAATAAAATCCTCGTGTCGAACAAAGAGTGTTCCTTGTTCGAGGGCTTTAGAGAAAGGAGTCGAGCCTCAATTAAGGAGAGACTGTTTGAGGGCTCTATAGGCCTCAGGTGAGACTTTATGATATACTTTGTTCGAGAGGAGGATTGTTGAGGATTGTTGGGAGGGAGTACTACATCGACTAATTTAGTGGAATATCATGAGTTTATAAGTTGGGCCTTTTGGGGAAGCCCAAAACAAAGTCATGAGTGCGTAAGCTCAAAGTGGACAATATCATACCATTGTGAATATTCGTGATTCCTAACATAATTAACATATCATGTAACTATCTGCAACACACAATTTCTCGATGGATTCTATATAGGCTAGGTCGATCCGTTACGAATTTAAATAGTTCCATGTGGTCTTTTCTTATTCCTTCTGTTACTTGGTTATTTTGTATGTGTGAGAGATCACAGGGTTCATAGTATCTGTTCTTCCATAATCTTATATCAATTTAATGATTCATTGATGCATTATGCAAAAAAAATTGTACAGGCTTCTGCCATACCATGTGGTGGCTGACTATGAGGCAGAAGAAGATGATAGAATCCTCGACTCGGATCCAACGGGCCAAATGTTGTCACGGTCACAGCAGTGGGACCATAACATCTCGGCCAAAATTTCCGAGTTTATTGGCACTTTTGAGAAGCAGGTATTGGCTTTCAACATCATAACTCGAAAAAGAGCATTGGGGGAGTTCCGTTCAGAAGAAAGATTGATGTTTGAACAAGCCCTTATGCAAGAAGAGAAACGGAAACTTCTTGAACTAAAAGCTGAGATTGAGTTGAGAGGGAAGGCGAGCAAAGAGGCTCAGGACGCCAAAACTCGGATGGCAGCTATGATGCAGCCTGACCAAACACGGGGCGAAACACAGGCTAACGAAATGATGGTTCGTGCTCCTATGAGAACAGGTGCACATGTTGGATCCCAAAGCAGCGATGTTCCAGTTGGCCATGGTGTCGGGGAGCAGGAGCAAGTTCATCCAAGCGAAATGATCAATGGATGGGGAAACAACACCACACAGGGAGATGAGAAGGAAGCATCAGAGGACCTATTGAACGATGAGGAGGCCGAGAATGGTGATACGGGCATGCATGATAGCTGGCGTGAAGTCGGAGAATTTGATCTGAACACGAGATGAAATGTTCATGGAACAGCTTAATAATGGATCAAGTTAAAGTGAAGTAGGGTTGGATGAAGAAAAATGATGAAGGGAAGTGCCTGCATATTTGAGGAACAATATTTGAAAGCCGAATTGGCGGTTGAACTCGAGGATGTCGGGTTCGTCGGATGTTTTAGTAGGAAGTACGTATGTTGTAGTTGTGTATTGGTTGATAAAATTACTACAATTTCCAGAAAAAGAACATGCTTGGCTTGACTGAAAAGCAGTGTGATGTGTAGATTTGAGAAGGAAGAAGAAATTGACGAGAAAGCTTCCTAATACCTCAACTTGATGGGCGAATGCAGTATGAACCACATGAATACTCACAATTGTAATTTATTACGTTGTTTTCTTTAACAACAAATATTTGAAACTAAAACAATTATATGAATGTCTGTATTATGCATATGCCTTTTTTTTTAATACCATTTGGCGGCAACCTTAAACCTTACTGATGCTAGAAAAATCATCCATTCTGATTTGTCATTTAAATAATAGTTGGATAGATCATGTGTTGAACTTTTTGAACAAAAAACACATTTTCCAATAATTAAAATTGTTAAGAGCTTTTTTGGAAAAGTTATAAAAACAACCTATATCATATCCAAATGATATATCTAACCTGAATTTGTTGAATTTGTTACATGTGTTACATGATCTAAGGTTAAGAAGATTTAATTGAATTTGTTACCTGATCTAAGGCATTAAAGCTTCTGAACTGAACCGGATGAGATTGCTATGTAACATATTGATAATTTCTTTGAAAATTTTATTTATTATTTTAATTTCATAACTTCTGGACAAAATGATGAGAAGTTGCTCAACAAAATGGTACTTTTTTAGTGGACATTCGAAGGACAGTGGAGAGTAACCTATGAATCATGGTCATAACTCGTAGTAGGTTTTGAAAGATAGTAAGAATAACTTGCAAATCATAGTGCTATCACTAACATCTTTTACTGAGTTGGGAGGGCATTTGAAAGATAGTGGGAATAACTTGCTAATCATGTTCGCTACCACTAACTTCTTTTACTCATTATGAGTTTCTTTTGTCTCTTTAAGTGGGTTGAGTTTTTTTTTTTTTGGTGGAGAAATAATTTGTCATTTTTAAATTTCAAGCAATTCTTATAATAGATTGAAAGCAATACTTGTAATAAATTCGTTCAATTGTGGAGGGACTCAATTTAAAACAAGATTTCAAAAATAATCCAATTATAATTCTTTTTTTTCTTTTTTTTTTTTTGGGATAGATTGAAAATTAGGATTGCGTTGGCTAAATCATTTTGAAGAATTGAAATGCTTTTGTAAAGATTTTAAGATAAAATACCAAAGCAGCGAAATGAGAGAATTGGAAGTAACATAAGATTCCAGTTGACATATGTTTATGAAGTTGAACCATTCCTAACAAGCATTTGTAGGTTCAGAATTGCCCATTGCACAACCAAAACTCCCCAACTGTTGGAACAAACGTGGGAGCACTTTTCAAGATGAGATTAAACCAATCAATTAAATAAAATCTGCAAAGAGCAGGTGGCCAACTAGGCATGCCAATCACCTTCCTGTCTTTTCAGTTTGCACTCCATTTATAAAAAAAAAAAAAAAAAAAAAAAAAAAAAAAAAAAAAAAAAAAAAAAAAA